TGTCTAACAATAACGTTCATAAGTGCTAAAATTTCGAACTGGCGGACCATATTCGGGGGAGAAATTTGGGACAGTTTTTTGCTTGGAAATACTGATTTAATCGAATTTTAACCACAAAAATGACTCCCAATAATATTCTTATGGAGAGTGTGGATAAATATTAAATATTTAAAATAATACAGGTTTGACTATAATGAAGTTGTGTCAATAATCATGTAAAGAATAATAGATAACCTACAATCTTAGTTTGGTAAACCAATTTGGTATCTTTCCTGTGTAGCCAAAATTACTCAATATGTAAAACTATAAGAAGAATTATAACCTACAATCTTTGTTTTATTAGTGAACTTGAATATCTTGCAACTTGTTAAGACCACATTAAAATGCTTTGATATAGACTTTACATCATGCCGGATGTACCTTATAGAAATCATGTATCTAAAAGAGAATGATCTAGATGCGGATGATTAGTAGTTAGAAATCGGATCGATGTAGCAGAAAAAAGCAAACCCTAGCAAAGAGTGCAAGTGTTTTTATAACCAAATTCAGACAATTGTCTCGCCCATCGCCTGACATTTTAGGGTTTTTAACCCCTATCACCCATGAACCGGGTGCTTCCCGATTTATACCGAAACCCATATTGGAAGAAAACACCCGATCTACAACATCAAAGCACATTTTAATAACTTGAGCACAAAACTGGTAAAAAAAAGACCAAAGTTGTTGCCCAATTTGGTATTTTTCCTCACGCGTGTAGCCAAAATGACCGATTTTTGTCAATATCTTAACAAATAAGCATTAAAGGGCTTATATTGCTTTATAAGTTGTATATAAATGTGATGTTTGCGCTCATTTTAAGCTAAAATTCAAGTCTCTACGATTTTCCTAGTTCAAGTTATCAAAATTCAGTCCCATTTTTGGTTCGCTGAGCCAAAAAACAGTTTTTTGTCAATATCTATAAAACAAAGCACTGGAGACCTTATGTTGCTTCATAACTTGTATATAAATATGGCCATTGCAGTAATTTTAAGCTAAAATAGAAGTCTCTATGACCTTCAGGAGCTGAAATACAAAAATCCCGTATACGCGACTGAGGGTAATTTAGAAAATTTGCCCTGTAGGGTTATGTCTAGCGACACAAATTGCGTACCTAAACGATTTTGGTTAAGAATGATCTAACAAACAACCCTGTGTTGTCAGAAATCGTATACATCGAAGTGCACACTCAACTATTCCCTGCTACTGGAGTAAGAGTCATTTGGTCGCTAATACTGTAATACGCGCGCGATATCAATACATGCGCGTAAAGTTTTGCAGTATTGTGTCTCCGCGTCTTACATTTTATTACCTGACTAAGTAGGACCGACTATGGCACACGGCTGCGAAACCCTGATTATTTAAAATAATTATACAATATACAATATCTTTTACTCAGTCATATTTTCTTACTCAAATACTAAATACCAACTGGTCGCCGAGTATGCAATCAATGTACTGTTTTCCTATCTATAGTGTATAGTCACACCATTTCATACTGCCTGAATGATGTATAGTCACACCATTTCATACTACCTGAATGATGTATAGTCACACCATTTCATACTACCTGAATGATGTATAGTCACACCATTTCATACTACCTGAATGATGTATAGTCACACCATTTCATACTACATGAATGATGTATAGTCACACCATTTCATACTACATGAATGATGTATAGTCACACCATTTCATACTACCTGAATGATGTATAGTCACACCATTTCATACTACCTGAATGATGTATAGTCACACCATTTCATACTACCTGAATGATGTATAGTCACACCATTTCATACTACCTGAATGATGTATAGTCACACCATTTCATACTACATGAATGATGTATAGTCACACCATTTCATACTACCTGAATGATGTATAGTCACACCATTTCATACTACATGAATGATGTATAGTCACACCATTTCATACTACCTGAATGATGTATAGTCACACCATTTCATACTACCTGAATGATGTATAGTCACACCATTTCATACTACATGAATGATGTATAGTCACACCATTTCATACTACCTGAATGATGTATAGTCACACCATTTCATACTACCTGAATGATGTATAGTCACACCATTTCATACTACCTGAATGATGTATAGTCACACCATTTCATACTGCCTGAATGATGTATAGTCACACCATTTCATACTACCTGAATGATGTATAGTCACACCATTTCATACTGCCTGAATGATGTATAGTCACACCATTTCATACTACCTGAATGATGTATAGTCACACCATTTCATACTACATGAATGATGTATAGTCACACCATTTCATACTACCTGAATGATGTATAGTCACACCATTTCATACTACCTGAATGATGTATAGTCACACCATTTCATACTACATGAATGATGTATAGTCACACCATTTCATACTACCTGAATGATGTATAGTCACACCATTTCATACTACATGAATGATGTATAGTCACACCATTTCATACTACCTGAATGATGTATAGTCACACCATTTCATACTACATGAATGATGTATAGTCACACCATTTCATACTACCTGAATGATGTATAGTCACACCATTTCATACTACCTGAATGATGTATAGTCACACCATTTCATACTACCTGAATGATGTATAGTCACACCATTTCATACTACCTGAATGATGTATAGTCACACCATTTCATACTACATGAATGATGTATAGTCACACCATTTCATACTACATGAATGATGTATAGTCACACCATTTCATACTACCTGAATGATGTATAGTCACACCATTTCATACTACCTGAATGATGTATAGTCACACCATTTCATACTACATGAATGATGTATAGTCACACCATTTCATACTACCTGAATGATGTATAGTCACACCATTTCATACTACCTGAATGATGTATAGTCACACCATTTCATACTACCTGAATGATGTATAGTCACACCATTTCATACTACCTGAATGATGTATAGTCACACCATTTCATACTACCTGAATGATGTATAGTCACACCATTTCATACTACCTGAATGATGTATAGTCACACCATTTCATACTACCTGAATGATGTATAGTCACACCATTTCATACTACATGAATGATGTATAGTCACACCATTTCATACTACATGAATGATGTATAGTCACACCATTTCATACTACCTGAATGATGTATAGTCACACCATTTCATACTACCTGAATGATGTATAGTCACACCATTTCATACTACCTGAATGATGTATAGTCACACCATTTCATACTACATGAATGATGTATAGTCACACCATTTCATACTACCTGAATGATGTATAGTCACACCATTTCATACTACCTGAATGATGTATAGTCACACCATTTCATACTACATGAATGATGTATAGTCACACCATTTCATACTACCTGAATGATGTATAGTCACACCATTTCATACTACCTGAATGATGTATAGTCACACCATTTCATACTACATGAATGATGTATAGTCACACCATTTCATACTACCTGAATGATGTATAGTCACACCATTTCATACTACATGAATGATGTATAGTCACACCATTTCATACTACCTGAATGATGTATAGTCACACCATTTCATACTACATGAATGATGTATAGTCACACCATTTCATACTACATGAATGATGTATAGTCACACCATTTCATACTACCTGAATGATGTATAGTCACACCATTTCATACTACCTGAATGATGTATAGTCACACCATTTCATACTACCTGAATGATGTATAGTCACACCATTTCATACTACCTGAATGATGTATAGTCACACCATTTCATACTACCTGAATGATGTATAGTCACACCATTTCATACTACCTGAATGATGTATAGTCACACCATTTCATACTACCTGAATGATGTATAGTCACACCATTTCATACTACCTGAATGATGTATAGTCACACCATTTCATACTACCTGAATGATGTATAGTCACACCATTTCATACTACCTGAATGATGTATAGTCACACCATTTCATACTACCTGAATGATGTATAGTCACACCATTTCATACTACCTGAATGATGTATAGTCACACCATTTCATACTACCTGAATGATGTATAGTCACACCATTTCATACTACCTGAATGATGTATAGTCACACCATTTCATACTACATGAATGATGTATAGTCACACCATTTCATACTACATGAATGATGTATAGTCACACCATTTCATACTACCTGAATGATGTATAGTCACACCATTTCATACTACCTGAATGATGTATAGTCACACCATTTCATACTACCTGAATGATGTATAGTCACACCATTTCATACTACCTGAATGATGTATAGTCACACCATTTCATACTACCTGAATGATGTATAGTCACACCATTTCATACTACCTGAATGATGTATAGTCACACCATTTCATACTACCTGAATGATGTATAGTCACACCATTTCATACTACCTGAATGATGTATATAGTGAAAGCAGATAGTACATAACACATAATTAATAATTCAATAGTGGTTTAAATCAAAGGTTTAACAAAATTTGAAATTTAGGAATAGTTTTTTTCATGATCTATAATATGCAAGATTTAGCAGCACCTTAAGGGGACATACACCAACTTCCTATTTTTCCTATTTTTCATCTGATTTGCACGTGGGCGATCGTACAGACAGACAAAATAATTCGTGAGATAGATAAAATCGATAAGATTTGATACATTGAAAAAAATTTGTGTGAGTATGCACTTTCGAAAAAAAAAATTATTTTTAGAACGAAAATTCACTGTAATTATACCGATTTTATCTATACTTTCATAATATGAAGTCAAATCGAAGGTCCCGGCAAAAAAGGTTTTGGTGTATGCCGGTGTATGTCCCCTTAATCTATGTTCAAATGTTTGAAATTTTTTTAATTGTAAGACATTATGAAATATGAACAGACACTCACGAATAAACAGATCTTACGTCAAAGAAAATAATTGTCACAGTATAATCTGATGCAAGGAAGGAAATAAGGACCATTTTAAATTTTAAGGTGTCTCAAGCAAGTGGATAAATTGCAGAAAATTGATTGGTAAAATATTTTAACATCATACTATAACTATGTAGTATAGTGATAAAAGTAAATAATATATTATTAAACATTTATAGTTCATAAGTTGTTTTAAGTAATATAACAGACTTACATAAGGCTAGGTTTTCAAATTATCTCGATATAGGGGTGTAGGAATGTTATTCTTCATGAGGGGTCAAAATCTTAGAGTTTTTAAAATTTAGCACACGCTTTGTCCACAGCCTGTATTTCAAAAACAGTAAAACGTTCAGTGTCAACCATGCCTGTAAAAAGTTTATGGCAGGATGGCCTAAGTAAAGCGAGGGCTGCATATTGTCCAAATTTTTTTGGCAGATGGATAATAATGACGAAATTTTTTTAAATGATTTTGCACGTGCAAAAGGCCTAGCTGAACAATTTAGCAATAGAGATAGTTTTCAAACACAGCTTCAAGAACGATTCAAATAATACGATTTTAAATATATATTAGGGCCTGCAAGCAGCTTTTGCGAAATAAGTGTAGTTCGAAGAAGGGATTCATATTGAATTCTCACGAAAAAATTTCAGGAAATTTGCTTATAGCAATGTGAAATGATAAATCCAGCAAGATTTTGATGGGCCACTATTAAGGGTCAAAGGATAAAGTCCTGCAAATTTAGAAAAATATACAACACACAAGCTACAAGATCTGGGACAAATTTTTGGAAAATTTGGCCAAATGAGGCCAAAAAAAGTTGGCCCCTTTTCGACCCTTGCCCAAATTTTATGGGGGGGAGGGGCAGTCGCCCCCCCCCCCTCTTCCTACACCCCTGTCTCGATACAATATTAATTTAATTAGCTCATGATTAGATTCATTACTCATTTATTAATATAAACAGCGTTGTTGTTCTAAGCTCAGTAAGCAGAAAGTTAGGAGTCGACAGCACCAGCTGGTAGAGGTATAGAGGGCGGCATTTGCATCTGGCAGAAAGTTAGGAGTCGACAGCACCAGCTGGTAGAGGTATAGAGGGCGGCATTTGCATCTGGTGAGCATTGGTGGTCTCTAGAAGAGTCTTCTGGATAAGATAACCATAACCACCCCTGCCATCGTCGAAATCTTGACGGTAGTCGTCTCTTATCTGATGACACATGAGTTAAATTATATAATAACAGTTTTAATACTTTCAACACTACTATATAACAAATAATTTGAGGCTCTAATGATGTAGTTTTACGAAGATTTCAAGCCTTACGTTGCGTGCAAAAGCATTACATAATAACTGTTAGATTAATTCTCCCAAACCAACTTTAATGGAACAATATACAAGGGATTCAAATGTTACTATTGACATTATTACTATATATTATATACACTATCACTCACCCACTCAGTGTTCCATTAATAAGCTCAGATGATTCTTTATCTATCATGAAGATGTAACTAGGTCGGTCCGAGCTAATAGTCGTTACCAGTGCGCAATGGGTCTAATTACCTGTAGTCTACAGGTAAGTAGACCCACTGCGCAATACTATTAGCTCAGTCTCGGACCAGCCTAGTTACATGTTCATGATAGTAGTATGTATATGTTATCACTCATTTAGTGGAAAAAAGATTTGATCTAATGAGAATTGAAAACATAGTAATGCAATAAAAATAACAGACTTAGATATAAATTTAGAGCCAGTATTTTGAATTGTCTTTTGGCTACTTTTACTACGAAGGGTTCTATAAGTGTTACTCAGTAACAGAGCCTGTAAAGTAAACTACGTACGTTTTGGTACGTTTTGGTGAGTTTGGCAGGGCGTGCTCAGGACAACTGCATCGAGTGCGTCCTCCTCCAGCTCAGCATTGAGTTATCGTTTGTCGGAGTGTAGCCCGGAACCGGTGGTGTGTCTGGGTACTGTTCCATAAATCTGCCTAGACCAACTTTGAAACTGTCTAGCAATGTGATACTCCGGAGCTCCGATGGGAGCACGTTGAAGAGCTGAGCTGCTCTAACTCTAAAGCTGTTGTCGTAATCTGTTCTTACCGACAACTGTGCGCTTTTGTTCATGGCTGGGATCTCTGCCTTAATACCATGCCTTTGATGAGACTTGAACTCGAAGCCCGTATCGTTCGGAGCATGTTCATTAAGAATTTTCCATACATGAATAATGGAATAACGCTCTCTCCGCCTCTGAAGGGACATCAACTTAAGCTTCTTCAGCCTGTCCCAGTACTGGAGATCACGGCAGCCAGATATCTTTCTAGTAAAGGATCTCTGTACAGTCTCCAGCTTTTGTATCTCTGTGACTTTTGTAGGGTTCCAGACTGGACAGCAGTACTCTAGCTTGGAGCGAACCATGCTTTTGTATAAAGTCAGCATGACTACTTGTGACCGGTCTCTAAAGGCACTCAATGTCCAAGCCGCCATTTTTCTAGCTCCTTGAACTGTCTTCTCAATGTGAGGACCCCATGACCTACTGCTGCTAACATACACTCCAAGGTCTCTGACAGTTTCCTGTGGTGATATTGCGTGTCCTTTTGGTGTAGTATACTCAACAGTCTCTGGGTAGAACGGGAGCTCTCTTAGAGCTTTTGATCCATTCAGGGGGTAGTTTACAACCTCAAACTTCTGTTCGTGTAGCTCCATGTTGTTAACACGTGACCACTCGATGACTATGTTGAGATCATCTTGCAGTAACTCCACACTACTCATTCCTCGGATAGCCCCAATCAGCTTTGTGTCGTCTGCAAAGCTGAATCCGTTACTATAGCTAATGCTGTTCAACAGATCGTTGATGTACAGGATAAATAGGATCGGTCCTAGGACTGTCCCTTGTGGCACCCCACTTGCCACTGGCTGGAAGGATGATTTGCGACCTTCAACAACGACTGTTTGTTTTCTATTTAGCAAAAACTCTTTGATCCACCTTAAAACCTGACCACCAATTCCGTATCGACCAAGCTTGGCTAGCAGCACTGCATGGTCGACCTTGTCAAAAGCTTTGGCAAAGTCGAGGTAAATCACATCAACTTCTTCATCATTGTTGAGTGATTTGTAGATCTGTTCGATGTGACTGAGAAGCTGCGTCATGCAACTCCTCTTTTTTCTGAACCCATGCTGGTTCGTATTGATCATCATGTTCTCTTCCAAATGACGAACCAGGTTTTTTCTGATTACACGCTCAAATGTCTTTATGATGTGCGAGGTTAAAGACACTGGTCTATAGTTTGACTGAGAGGATCGCTAGATGGAAAATGTTAGGGCACGTACTGAGGAGTGATGAAAACTGAAAGCACCCCTGCCTACCTATCATTCAGATTTGCCTGTAATTCAGACAATTACCATTGCCGAATTTATTTGTATATAATCATAATTTGTATATAATCATAATTAGCTGTTTCACGAATTTATTTGTATATAATCATAATTAGCTGTTTCACCTTTAAAAGGCAGAGATTTAACCTTAGTCGCTGTGAATTTTTTTTTAATGATACTTTTATGATTTTGATGATCCAACTAGTATGAAGTTGAACTTGCCGTTTGAACTTTGTTTCACTTCTTCTGTATGAAAATTATATGAAAATTATAGACAAACTACATAATATTTACTACAATTTTTAGCTTAATATCTATTGAAATGTGTTAACTAGGGCCCCAGTTAAGAATTGAGCAAATTTGCTCATTTCATAGTTACTTCTCCATCACCTTAATAACACCAGAATGTGTGTGTGTGTGTGTGTCTGTCTGTCTGTCTGTCCGTGTGTAATTTCCGGTCGGTTATACAAAAAAAACGGTAAGAGTTACGGGACTGATTTTTTCGGTATAGTGTCGACAAAACTCTGATGAAGCCCATAGGAAATTTTTTTTAAATCGGCCGATGGTAAGTGGTTTAATTGATGGTTTTGTACCACAAATGTTACATAAAATTGCGTGAGCAGAACGGCAAGAGTTACGGGGCTTGCTCTCTCTCTCATTACTGTGTAATATGTTATAGCTGCATTTAAGTAGCGTCATAATTGGATTAGCCTGGAAGATTCGCTGTAATGTTATACCTTAAGCTTATTAGGGGAGGGGGGACTGTTAGTGTTTGGGGTCTGTTTGGACTGCAGAGAGAGAGAGAGAGAGAGAGAGAGAGAGAGAGAGAGAGAGAGAGAGAGAGAGAGAGTTCATACGACAATGTTATGCGTGTTTTCAAATATAATATGCGGGTGTGGTGCGGAGTTAACAAGGGTTAATTTCTATAACGATTTAAATAAAAATAGAAAGCGGTTCAAGACGGGAGTGATGAGGTGTAATACTCGGTGTTCAGACCTTATGATCATGGAGTGTGGTGCCTCATGGCTAATAATGACTTAATTATCCACAAGAAATAACTGATTATGAGATTATTGTTTAAGAAACTATTGGGTCACCTAATGCGGGTTTTGACTCAGCGGGTAATTACTCCTACCCTTTTTAACTGCGGCAGTGAAATCCCGGCCGTAGGCCGGGTTACACTAGTTCCTTAATATTTTCGCATGAAATTTTCAATTTCCAAACTAGTTCTGGCAGAAATATTCTCCACATTTATTGCTCAGGATGTTGGCACAGCACAATATTTTAAATTTTGAGAACTGGTCGGAAAATAATTGTAATCAATTAACAAAGTAAATGAGCGCAAAATGTAGCTGATTGCTCCTTCATGAATTAATCTAGAGATGTTTGAAATCGTACTAATGTATCGTAAACACCCTGTATTACAGAAACCTAGCAAACATTTAACACCTCTAAACCTGCTCAGATAAATTAGCATCGCATTTTCCTTCCAATTAAATCGTCATGTCATTTGTTTTAGTAGTGCTAATTGTGTTTACCTGACCACCGCTCTTGCCCCTACCATACTGCCTCCCATCGTCAAATCCCCAGTCCCAATCTGTCCTGATTTGCCTGTCATCCAGCTTAGCTCCGTTAAGGAACCTCACAGCTGTCTCCGCATCTGCCCTGTCAAAGAACTCCACGAAGCAGAAACCACATGGTGTCTTCTTCAGTCGGTCTAGTCCCATTATTATCCTCTTTAAATCACCTGCTTGTCTGAATACCTCGTGTACCTGCTCCTCTGCAAGTTACACGCGGATTAGAGTGTTTACATGAGGTTACAATTAGAGTTGTATTTTTTATTAAATACTTTTCAAATTTTACAGAGTACAGCAATAGATGAATATAAAATAGAATCGTTCAAAATATCGCCCCCATCTGTAAGATATGACGGGCACCCAAACACGGTAAACACATAGTGAACTATGTCCGCAGTAACTTGGACCCATTACATCGAATTAATCTAAATCCAAAAATTTATGAAAAGCTATTTAATAACAAACAAATCCATGGTGAATAACTGTGGATATAGAGTCAAAATTGGTATTTCAATACGTCAAATTCCAGATACATTAGATACAGGTCTAATATGGTCATTAATGTGGGAGAAGGTGTGTGGGGGAAGTGTGATATGATGTTGAAAGTATAGGAAGGTATATTAAAAAATAAAAAATAATAATATGGGGAGCAAAGAGACTAGGCTAGACTGTTGTTTCACTATCCAATAAACATTTCCATAGATGCTTAGTGACCTCAGCTTTGAAAAGACTAGTAGACACAATCTGTCTTACCTGTAAAGGGAGTCCATTCCACAGTATATGGGAAATTGGACTCCATACTGACAGTCAGGCGCGTGACATATATAATATAAATACACTTATAAGCCGAGACCTAATTCCTGCGTGGGACCTAATTTTCCATTTGACCTAGTTACATCTTGGTGACAGTAAAATGGCAGAGTAATTCACAAAAATGGCAAAGTAATTCACGTTTAACGTTTTATTTGAACTTTATTTAAAGAAGTATAGAACTGTATGCCTCTCTTACTTTTAACACTATAGTTCTCCAAAAGTTTTACCCTGTAAATAATTGTACATAATTCTGACGTAATGTCAAAGTGGATATCTATGTAATGTTTATAATAATTTAATGGTTATCTTCATACCCACAGTTCAATGTTTTATCCAGCATACCAATATACCATACTTTATACTCATTCACTTATCATTTATAAATATACTATATGTTTTGATTCTTAGTCCTTAGAAGGGCAAATGTTTTGATTCTTAGTCCTTAGAAGGGCACTCTATGAACAGTTTTTTGCTGATTTGAATGTCCTGCACAGCAGATAGAAGCATCTTTAAATTATTTACTATTTTTATTGTACATGGCTGTGTAAATTTGAATCTAATTCTAATTCTAATTCTAATTTTTATTCACCCGTGGTATAAAAGGATAGGTTGCCAATGTACAAAGTGGTGGTCTTCAGTAACTTCTGCTCCTGTTCATATCTACTTCCCTGAGGGTTTTGTAGAGATTTTAATTCTGTAGTACCAAATGACTGATAAGGCAGTACTCAGTACTATGTATGAAAAGCGAATGAATTGCTCAGTATTGCCTTGCATTGTTCATGAGAAGTTGTTTAATGTTAAGAACCTTGTACTGCTGATCACGGTATCGGCTTAGTTCAGCTCCTTTGGGTCCAATGATTCGTGCGCGTTTGTTGTGGTTCCAGCGCCCTCTCCCTCGATGATTCGGATACGGTCTAAACCGGTTATTGGAGTTGTTGAAATGTGCAGGGTGCTCTGCCATCACGATACCTGCACACATACAACTAAAGTTAATAAGTTTTTCAAAAAGGTACAACAAAATTTTAGAAGTTTAGGCATTAAGTAAAACACTAAGTTAAAATTTAAAAACAAATGTTACAAATGACACTCCAAAATCACCCAAATGATGTAGTTGATCTGGGCAGTGCCATTTACCAGAAAATGGCCCATGTTAGGCTCATTTTTGGCTTGATTATACCAAAATTGGCTTAGAATGCCGAAAATACGATTCTATTGGCAAAAGGAATCCACAAAGTTGGTGTCCAATAAAACCACACTTTTTTTGGAGTCAATTTTTTTTAGTCAGATTTTTTGGAGAAGAGACAATTTTATTATGTACGTATTATGTACGTATCACCAATTCATTACACAATCAATCCATAAATATATATTATATATCCGAATATATAATACCGAAATAAATTGTAGCACTAAATAATAACATCCTGTTATTACTGTTCACACCTTTCTCTCTCTTTCGTGACAGAATACTTCTAACCGTGTTTACCCTTTCTAGCAATGACTACCAAAGAAGGATAACCGATTGGACTGGGGAGGAGTGGAACATTGGCAGCACACTACCGTCCAATCGGTAAGTATTTACAATGTTTAGTTATTAGGTATGTATTTGGAATTGGTTTAATTTGGTTGTAAAGTTATTCTATTATGTAATAAAGTATTGTGTTTTACAGGTTTTGTACATACGACAATTACTGGTTTTAATTGGTCAACTTAGAGTCATCTAACAGTGATAGCAGGAAGCAGGACGATCTACCTAACGACCTAACAACTGTGGAACTTTTGTTTTCTTTTGAGAGACATTGAGAGACATTTTGGAGTTTTTTTAGAGACACTTTGGGAGTTTTTTTAGTCAAACTGTAATCATGAGTCTTCGTGAGATACCTGTGTTAGACGATAGCGCTGACTACAGCACGTGGAAGAAAAAAGTGCTTATATGGCAGCTTGGAACCGGAGCATCAGTGAAACAGCAAGCAAGTAAACTTATCATGAACATGAATGGGAAACCACAGGAGGTTTCTATAAACATACCAATAAAGGTTCTAGGAGCTGAAGATGGAGTTGATAAACTCATTGCTGAACTGGACAAACTGTACAAGAAGGACGGTACTCAGTCTTTATTTAAGGCAATAGACGACTTTGAGAGATATAGAAGAGGAGATGGAGAAGATATCGACAACTACATCTTGGAATTCCAGCGGAGGTATCAGATCCTTAAACAGCTGAGAGAAAGCAAAGAGCTCTATGACGATATGATATTAGCATATAGACTGTTAAATCAGGCTAGCCTAAACGATGAACAGGCCAGATTAGTTAGAGTAACTTGCACTAGTACATTATCTTATAACTTGATGCAAGAACAGTTAAAAAGGACATTCGGAGATGGATTTACAAGGAATGAGAATCAATCCAGTCTGCCTTTCAAAAGTACTCCAATGGAGGTGGTAAAGCAGGAACCCGTCTTTCTAACTGAGGATCAGCAAATGGGGTCTGACGTGCACTGGACCAGAAATGGGGATCATGAAAGAAACTTCACTGGTCAACCTATGAGAGGGGAAAACAGATATAACCCTTACGGTCAGAATAGAGGGCAGTCTAGATTCAACCCGTATGCACAGAAACGAGGACAAAAGTCTTACATGAGGGGGAGCAGTAACCAAAGGATCAGTTGTTTTATATGCCATCAACCAGGTCATGTTGTCGCTGAGTGTTCTTTTAACACATTTGCTAAATCTCATCAAAAACAAGATGATGAGTCTCGCAGAAAGGTCTACGCTTTATTTGAATCAGATTTTTCACTTCCAGATTGCGAAGAAGAGATAATTTACTTAACAGGTGAATGTACGAACAAAGCGTTGATAGATACAGGGGCATGTGCAACTATCTGTGGAAAGGAGTGGTTTACGGTGTATGAAAGCTCTTTGACTACAGAAGAGAGGAAACTGATACAGACTGAGACTACTGAAAGGACATTTCGATTTGGAGATGGTAAGCCGATTGCTTTGAAAACTATACCTATTAACCTTTGCAACAAAGATATGTTTTTGAAAACATACGTGGTGACGAACGATATTCCTCTTTTGCTAGCGAAGCAAACCATGACAAAAATGGGTATGGTACTAGACATGGATATATAATATGACCCTAAAAATAAAAGACAGCAAAACACTGGAGAAGTTGCGGAGTACAAAATCGGGTCATGTAGCTGTGCCGATTGCACGTTGTGGAGATGGACAAGAAAGTGGAGTAACTTATCAAGTGTCTAAAGAGCAAGACTGTGGAAAAACTGCTGACTTTTATCACCGTTACTACGCTCACGCATCAGCTGCGAAGATAGGTAAAGTCATCAAAAACGCAAAGTTGAAAGATGGTAATAAGATCATAGAGGAGCTTGAGAAGATTGATCAAACATGTGATTTTTGCTTGAAGTACAAGACTAGATCTATTCCGAAGAGGAAAGTGGGAATCCCTCAAGCTTCTATTTTTAATGAAGTCGTTGCTATGGACTTAAAAATTATAAATTATGAGGTGACTTTACTACATATGGTTGATACCGTAACAAGGTATTCTGTGGCAGCTCGAGTGATCAGCAAGGAAGCTCAAGAAATACTTGATAAGGTATTTAAGCATTGGATATCCATATTTGGACCACCATCGACCTTCATATCAGATAATGGAGGAGAATTTGTAAATGATTGTTTTAACCAAGCTTGCTCAGTACTGAACATCAAGATTCAGACATCGCCAGCGTATTCACCTTGGTGCAATGGGATTGTAGAACGACACAACGGCATCTTGGGATGCATGATAAAATCTTTGTTAGAAGAAATGAGATGTGATCCTGAAATTGCTATAGCGTGGTCTGTTAGTGCTAAAAATTCTCTCAGTAATACATACGGATTCAGCCCTCACCAACTAGTATTCGGAACAAACCCAAGGGTTCCTGGAATCATGGAAGAAAATATGACTCCTGGAACATTAAACCACGAAGGTGTTCTTAAAATAGTCAGTGATCACCTCAACGCTCTCTCTCTGGCTAGACTGAAGTTTGTTGAATTAGAAGCTAACGACAAGCTCAAGAGAGCACTCCAACAGAGGATATTTCCGCAAGCTAACTATAGATATTGCAGTGGCGATCTCGTGTACTTCAAGAGAAGTAAAAAGTTCTGGTATGGACCAGCAACAGTAATAGGACAGGTTGCTAATCAAGTTCTGATCAAGCACGGGGGTCACATCGTGAGAGTGCATCCGTGTAAAGTGGTTCTTAAATCTAGAGCAAAAGAACAAATTGAAGGAAGTGGTGCAACCTTGCAGGGCCAGGGGAATGTTGGTAAGCCTATTATAATCTCCGAGTCGGTTTATCGAGCAGCAGTGGAGGAGGTTAGGCCTGGGGAAAATACTACTCAGTCTATAGAGTTTGATGATATAGAAGATGAGGACGAGGAGGCCCCAGTAACAACTGTTCAAACATTGGTAGAAGATAGGGCTCAATCTATAGAATCTCATGACACAGTGAATGTAGATGACACAGCGAATGTAGACGTCTCTTCTATAACAGATGTCTCTGCTGAAACCACAGAAACGGAAACCTCGACGGAGGTAGATGAAGCTAATACAGAAACAGACAACTCAATCTGGAATAGTATATCTGGGGATTCTACAAAAATCCGACTGATTAGAGGAGATGTGATACGTTTTAGATCTGAGGATGAGGAACCTTGGAAATACGGAATGATCGAGAAGAGAGCTGACAAGACGTCAGAATGTTCGAGAAATTCATTTCAAATCGAACAGGATCTAGTGGAAGAGCCAATAATAGTAGATTTGGAAAAGCATCATGTTGAGAAACAAGAAGGTAATCAAAGGAATACAACTGTACTATTGACGCAAGAAGATGCTGAGCCTTATATCTTCGCAATCGGAATACAGGACTCAAAGAAGATAGACGTTGCTAAGGAACAGGAACTGAAAAGACTGTCAGAATTCGGAGTATACCAAGAAACTAAAGATACGGGACAAAGTCATGTATCATCAAGGTGGGTAGTAACTACTAAGGGAGAAAACGATGAGCAAGTTAAAGCAAGACTGGTTGCTAGAGGTTTCGAGGAGAATTGTGTCATGAGGAAAGACTCTCCTACGGTAACTAAGGTAGTTATTAGACTGTTATTTTCACTAGCAGCTTCATATAATTGGACTGTTGACACTTTAGATGTAACCAGTGCTTTTCTACAAGCTAAAGGAACTATGAGAGACGTATTTGTTAAACCTCCCCGTGATATAAGGAAGCGAGGAGTAATCTGGAAATTACTTAAACCGCTATACGGACTTGGTGACAGTGCAAGAAGATGGTACGTTACTATTAAGGAACATCTGACTGAGACTTCTAGCTGTGAGATCTCAAAGTTAGATAAATCTTTGTTTAGATATTATGAGAACAACAGATTGCAAGGAGTGATGGTTACACACGTTGATGATATACTGCACTGTGGAACAACCCGATTCAAGAACACTGTAATAAAATCAATCTACAGTACGTTCAAAATCAGCAGAAGTTATACGGGAGTATTCACCTATCTTGGGTGGAAAGTGGTGCAGAATGAAAAAGACATATACGTCGATCAAAGAGATTACGCATTAGCTATAAGACCAGTGGATATAGCTAGTAGCAGATGTACGGAAGCAGAAAGTGACCTCACGGAGGAGGAATTAGTAGAATATCAAAAGCTATTGGGAAAACTTTTGTGGTTGAGCTCTCAAACCAGACCTGATTTATCCTTTGACACTCTGGAACATTCCACTTACAGTACCAAGAAAGTTAAACACCTTAAAAGTTTAAATAAGGTAACAAAGAAATTGGCTGACGGGCCAAAAAGAGTAGTCTATAGAAAATTAGATATTGAGAAAGGAAACTTACACCTCTTGTGCTTCACAGATGCAAGCTTGGGCAACATCTCCGAAACCAAGCATAGTGCTAGTGGTTACATTATTTTCCTTACAGATGGAAATGTAGCAAACCTGATAGCGTGGTCAAGCAATAAAGTTAAGAGAGTCGTGCACTCTATATTCGCTGCTGAAACACTTAGCTGTACTTCTGGCACAGCTGCAGCGATCTATATAAGACAAGTGTTGTCAGAAATGTTGTTCAGAGATCCGCATAATGAAGTGATCCCGATTGTTGTCTTGATTGATTCAAAACAACTCTATGATAATGTACACTCCAGCAGTTTGTGTCAAGATAAAAGATTAGTCCTTGATATAGCCGTTCTGCAGGAAAACTTACATAAAGTTTTAAACTAATTACAACACTACAAATCTATTACATTTATTGAGGTATGACCAAAATGACCAACATGACAAAAATGTAATGTAATTGGAGGTATCAAATCTATTCAATCAACTTCAATCAACTTCAATCGACTTCAATCAATCTATTTATCTACAACCAACTCAACCAACTCAACATCATGAACGATTCATTGGAAACATTTTTCGGCAAATTATTGATGGAATGTGATACAAAATGTACAAACTGTTCAGATCTTGAAACTCGCGTGAAGTTTCTGGAGCGTAAAGTGTTCATTTTAGAGGAGATTGTTCAAACCTCACAAACAATAGCAGAGATTAATGAAACTATTTCGCCTCAAAGTGGAAACCAATCAATTGCTCAATACAAGTGTTTCGATGTATCAGTGCAAACGGACTCCAGCAACAATAACATTCAGTATGACAATGAATGTGAGGTACCAGAATCATTTTTGTTGATTGATGATGATGGCTATGTAGAAGCACCTCTATCAATTATTTCTAACAACATAGACATTTCAACCAGCGAGATTACAGACACTGGCTCAGTTATTCCAAGAAGTGGTGAATATTATGCAGGATTAGATTTAACACCTGTGTCAAGTTCAGACCTTACTACAGACTATGAAATCCCTGATATCGCCATCACACCTGTTGAACTTATTGAACAGGCACCATTCAGCAAATTTTCTGTTGAAATCTTATTTGAGGAATTAAAGTTCAGCCACCACTTCCATAACAGGAAATCAGTCTACTTTGGGAAACATCCTTACGTGTACAGTGGAGGAATGCATGACCCAAAGAAGATCCCCCAGGGATCTTACATGGCAAGTATATGTTCCTTTCTAGATGAGCTATTCCCAGAATACAACTACAACAGTGTACTGGTCAATCTCTATGAATCTGGAGAGGAACATATGCCTGCTCATAGTGACAATGAAGAATTTATTGAAGAAGATTCGTACATTGTAACAGTGTCCCTTGGTGCTTCCAGGATGATGCAGTTGA